ATCTCAAAGTCAAAGTTTGTTTGTGATTCGCACCACATGTGGTACATATGGTGTATATACTGTATGTGTGTCTGTAACTATGCATGTATGTGGGGAGCACGGTGGCACAACTGGTAGAGCTGCTGTCTCTCAGCGAGCAGGTTACCCTGGTTCAAACCCCACTCCGGGTACCTTTTTGGGTGTAGTTTGCATGTTCTCTCCGTGCATGCGTGGGTTTTCTCGGGTTACTCCGGTTTCCTCCCACAGACTAAAAACATGCATGTTAGGCTGATTGGTAACTCTAAATTGTACCTAGGTGTGAATGAGAGAGTGAATGGTTGTTTGTCTTGTTTGTCTCTATGTGGCCTTGTGATGGACTGGAGACCTGTCCAGGGTGTACCCCACCTCTCACATAGTGATGGCTAGACATGGGCACCAGTGACCCCTGCAACCCAAAAAGGAAGAAGCATATACATATATACATATGTACATGTATATATACATGCATACACATACATAAGTGTCCGGGGTACCAACGTTGGTAATATTGGTTTTCTAAGGTCAGTTGGCTGTGGCGGCCATCTTTAATTGGGTTAACTTCAAAATTAAATAATTTCTAGCCAATGATAACTTTCTGTAAGTTTCATAAAAATTTGTCCACTGGTTCATTAGATATTTTGCTAACAGACACACACACACATGCAGACACAAGCAATACCATCATCACCTGCCTTTTGCTGGTGGGTGATAAAAATGGTTTTGCTTTCTTGTTGTCTGTTGATTGTCAACAATAAAAAGATGTACTGAATCCATACAAGCACGAAGATCGTAACCTTTACTGGTCAAGCTGATGAACAGTCGCCTTGTCTTAAAACAGATTATTGCAGAAGCACCAGAAGGCTGTGGGTTTATCATATGTATTTAAACAGATTAACCCAACACTTCTCACCACAGACTGTGTCCTTCTGTCAGCCTTGATATCTATCCAAATGAGAGAGGTTGGTGGAAGTCGTGAGGAAGCATTTAATCATGTGTTGATTCATTTACTAGCGTGCAGTAAATATTGAGGAAACAAAATTAAGGCCTCAGCCACATAAGAATTTTTTTAAATTTTTTACATGGAACTAATTCTACATATGTCTCCATCCGCACAGAAACGCAGAAACCAACCCAAAACGCTGCAGTAACTATGCCAGGCCTGTATGTGGTGCTGTAACATTGCCATGAAAATACACCATAAACAGGAAACGAGACATGGAGCATGCACATAAAGCTCACACGTTATGTCAACACAAGACGGAGAAACAAAGCGGGGATGGCAAATACCTTTGTGACAGACTAAATTATAAAACCATACAAGTTATATTAAGAAAAATAATTTTTAGTGTCAGTTCTGAAATCAGTCCTTAAATAAATAAAATGCACAATGTATATTGTAGATTTTTACTGCAACATTTGCTTTAGTATTGTTGAGAGTTCAATAAAAATTATGTAAACATTGTTGACCTTTGATTATTTGGAGTTTTAATGGGGGTTTTGCTCTGGGCAGTTTTTCCTCAACCTTCTCTGCTGATTGCAGGATTCAAAGGCATTGCTGTAGAAACAAGCGTCTGGTACTCAAACATCTAATCTGTCATTGCTGTTACTCTTGATGCATCTGTCTCGCTGTCAGAGAATGTTGGCTCATTTGGTAGAGCTGTTGCCTCTCAGCGAGAAGGTTGCTGGATCAAATCCCAACCAAGGACCTTTCTGGGTGGAGTTTACATGTTTTCTCCGGGTACTCTGGTTTCCTCTCACAGACCAAAAACATGTATGCTAGGCTGATTGGTGACTCTAATTAGGGGACCGAGATGGGGTAGAGGCAGGGCAGCCGATTTGGGACCCGAAAGTCCCAGGCTCGATACCCAGCCATGGTGTCTCTAAGCAAGACACCTAATCCCCAATTGCTCCCCGGACGCTTACATAGCTGCCCACTGCTCCACCTGGGTGTATCCCAGTGCGATGGGCTAAATGCAGAGAACCAATTTCACCATTATATGGGAACATACAATGATGACAACACATAGCACTTTATTATTTATTAATTGTCCTGAGGTGTGGGTGAGAACGTGATGGTTGTATGTCATGTTTGTCTCTATGTGTTCCTGTGATGGACTGAGACCTGTCCAGGATGTTCCCCCGCCTCTCACACGGTGACCCCTACGACCCGAAAAGGAAGAGGTGGGTAAAGATAATGGATGGATGGTTATAGATGTTTGTATTGTGCTTTACTATTGTGGGTGAGAACATTCTTCCCCTCTGCCCTGAGAACAAGGAGCTTGGTTGTCTCCAAAACCAACCAAATTGTCTCCCAAAGCACTCTCATATCAAATTGAGGGGTGCCTATGAACTGTATTTGTGAAGGCAAAGAGTGCCATGTCTCAAGGACACCCACTGAACTATGCTGCTGAACTGATAATGTTATAAAAGCCAACAGATAGCGTGGCTCGTGGCTCATTTCTGTGACTGGTTTTAAATGCATCTACATTTATGTATGTTTATATATAATCTTATGTATGTACCCTGTCCTGAAATCTGATCTTGCAAGTAAAAATGCCAGCTATACATCTTCAGCTGCCGTAAGTTGTGGTTCTTTTGGGTAAACGTCAGAGAACGAGAGAATTTCTCCAACACTCGCTTTGAGTCATAGGTCAGGTAAGAGGTGGGTGTATGACATCATAGTTTAAAACCAGTTGTTTCTAGGCTGTCCACAAAAACATTCCCATGGTGACAGAGCCTGAAGGGCCAGGCTTTTCCAAGAGTTCAAGTTGACAACTTTAGGTTTGTGAGGGGAAGGAGGCAACTCTAAATGATACCTAGAACTGTTGAGTAACCACAAACCTTAACGTTTGATGATGATGATGATGATCTCTGAGGGCTAATCCTTTTATTAATACCATCTCTGTGTTACTGAGCTAACCATTACATACCATCACATCATCAAACTACATCTGCCAGCACAGGAGACCCTGGCCGAGCATGTGCTAATTGCGTTGGCATTTTTAAGGCAAAGAAAAAGTCATAATTGAACTCAGCTGGGGAGGGAAATACACCCTTGACCTGACATTTGACTTTTGTCTATTACTCCCACTGCTCTTAGTGTGTTTCCAAACTGAGCCCCGACTGCAGGCCTGGTAACCTGACCTCCGCCCGCCCTTAGCCGCCCTCAGTGCACTCGGTTACAGTATGCTGCAAGGCGCTCGTGGACACGCTGGCCTTTTGGAAATTCCCTGGCTGCAACTGATACAGCCGGATGTTTAAAGCAGATATCAATGCTGTGCAGGAGGTAATGAATAATCATCAGCTTGGTTGTGTTGAGCAAATTGACCAAAAGTTGTGCTAAAATTCACCAGGATTATACCATTACTGTTCCAATCTGAAATTCTGCAGGGGTGAAAAAATGGGTGATTTGTTCCAAAACTGCAAAACGATAGTAAACGCAAACAAAATGAGACCAAAATCCAAAAGTTTAGATTCATTTTTTGTTTTCCTTTTCTTGGTCATATAAGTCCAAGCTTATTAAGGAAAATTCAATCAAACTAGATTAAGTCCAGATCAGCTGGAATTCACTGTGACCCCCCCATGACCATGCTAATGAAGATCACGCCCCACTCAGTGTCTGCTCAGATTATCCACTGAAGTTCAAAGCATCTGCAGACTAACGTATAGCTGTAATAGAAGAAATCCAAATAAACTGCACATCTCACTTCAGATAAGACTCTGATGCTGTCATGCAGCCTTGTGGGTTTGCATTTTTGCCTGTAAATGAAAGGGATGACGTGAGAGCATCCACATGCACATCTCCTGACACACACACAGCCTCTCCAGTCTTACCTCTCACAGCGAATCCTTAGCTCACTGTGCTGCCGTGCCTCTGCAGTGGCTTCCTTCAGCCTGCCAGCTCAGACAGACGTTATCCTCAGCCAGTCGTCTGCCCTCTGTCACGTCCTCAGCCGGCTCCTCGTACGGTCCAGGTGGACGAGATGAGGTGTCTCCTGTTAGACCGAGGAATCTGCTGCTGCTGTTTGTGGCTGGTGACTGTGGAGACTGTGTATTTGTGAGAGAAGGAGGGTGAGCAGAGCAGAGCAGAGGGGCGGTGAGACAGGACCTGCCATGCAGATATCAGCCCTGTTGCAGTTAAATTTAAACCACCCTCCCTCCTGACACCTTGAGGCACGTCCTCTCCAGCACGCCAGAGCCTGGGCACTACGATAAGGCCCCTGACAGGAGGCTCGGGCTGGGGAGGGGTCAGTCAGGGAAGGCAGGGGTGGGGTGGAGGCAAACGTAGACGTTTCATGCAGAAGCAATCAAGCACCAGTCGATACGCTTCCGTTTTCATCTCAGTTTTCTGTTCACTACTAGTAACTTTGGAACGAAACAAACTTTAGCTCGTTAGCAGTAACGCAGGATGTGATACAGTTAATTTTATGTTCCTTAAGATGAGTTGGCTGTGGCAGCCATCTTGGACTGGCTTGGGTCCAAGAGTTACTCGGTTGTGGATGAACGTTCAGGGATTATAAGTTTTGTTAACGTCTGTCCACTGGTTTGTGGCATGTTTTGGTAAAAGTCAGGGTTGTTGCTAACAGATCCACCAAAGTTCAGTCAGGTCATCTGGATGGTTTCGTTCTTTCTTTGTTTTTTTTTTTTTGTTTTTTTTTGGAAATGTTTCGTCCTTCATCCAAAGGATTTCATCACTCTGAGGAGGCACAACAAACTCAGTCCCACAAGCAGCACACTCACATAGTGGACCCACCAGTTTGATGGTGATAAAATGGTTTCTGGGGCCCGCCCTCTCTCCCGTTGACTCCTCTGAGGCAGCTGTAGCCAAAGTGGTTCAAAACATCAAAGTTCATGCTCAATAATCCAGGTAAAAATCCAACAAAGTTCAGTCAGGTCATCTGGACAGTTTCTTCATTTTTTTTGTTTTTTTTTTTTGTTTGAAACGTTTTGTCCTTCATCAAAGGACTTCATCAGTCTAAGGAGCAACAACAAACTCAGTCCCACAAGCATGATCTGGCATAACTCTGTTGGATTTTTTTTTTACTGGATTATTGAGCATGGACTTTGATGTTTTGAACCACTTTGGCTATAGCTGCCTCAGAGGAGGCAACGGGTGAGAGGGCGGGCCCCAGAAACCATTTTATCACCATCAAACTGGTTGGCCCACTATATGTGAGTGTGCTACTTGTGGGACTGAGTTTGTTGTGGCTCCTCGACTTGTACTGATTAAGTCCTTTCTATGAACTTTTCAACAACAACAAAAAAAAGGTTCAGATGACCTGACTGAATTTTGTTGGATTCTTTACCTCGTTTTTAGAGCATGAACTTTGACGTAAATACCAGCATTTTATGATCAGACTCAGCTCTGCTTTGTACCACAGCACGATGCTACCACCACCGTACTTCACAGTTGATACAGTGTTCCGCTTGAAAGCCAAACCCCTCAGCCTTCAGAAGGTGTTCGTCTTGTCCCTGTGGGCAGCAGCAGATTTCTCGAAGTTGTTGTTTTTGGAGCAGAAGCTTCTTTGTTGGTCGCCATGGCGATGTAAAACTGGCCTCAATGTGGACAGGCAGTGTCCAGTTCATGTTGGGTTTGAACCTTGGTGGTTCCTGGTTCTTGGCCATCTGATCCAATGAGTGCTGTCAAACAAATTATTTTTTTGCTGCCAAAGAGAAACTAAGAGCTGCAGTCAATCATGATCACTTATGAGACGCAAAAGGTACTCATTTGTAACTACAAAATTAAACATTAAAACATTAATGTTAATGCATTGAGCATGCATCAGGATATTAATTAAAACATTAACCTCAAATACAGTAGTTCCTCACTGCGGGGGTTACGTTCCAGACACCCAGACAGGTGAAAATCTGCAAAGTAGGGACATTATATTTATTTTAGTATTTACATATATTTTAAGGCTTTAAAAACCATTCCCACACTCTTGAATGTTCTTAACAACGTTCTAAACTCTATAAACACTCTAAAAGAGCACAGTGATAGAGAGCAGACAGACTGATGCTACGGTTACTGAGCCAATCCTGGGGGCGGACTGGCCATCGGGAGCACCAAAAATGTCCTGACTTGGTTCAGCTCGGCTTGGGTTGAGGCTCGGTTTGGGTCACGCTTGATTATTTTAAATAAACAATCATTGCCGCTCACTCTGGTATCCATCTCACTGAAGCTCCTACAGCAGCGATGGGAAAAGATAGACCCCGCCCCCTCCTTTCTCTTTCTGAGGCTGACAACCTCAGAAAGAGAAAGGAGGGTGCCCCATGGCGATCACTGAGCTGCCAGGTCACCAGGAAATAATGTGTAACTCTTATTTTGAAAACGCACGAAACAGTGAGTCTGCAAAAGTCGAACCGCAAAGTATTGAGGGTCTACTGTATACCAAATTGTTCAGATTCGGAGTTTACTCCAGTAGTTTTTTCAGATATTGAGTGAAATTTCCAAATGTGGGTCAACACTGAACGTAATCAGAATACTCAGATGAATCGAGAAGGGGTCCTCTGCAGACCAAAAGTGGGTGTTTCTGGAGCATAGGTGTATGTGGAAGTCAAACACTGTAACTAGCTGTATTTTCTGGCTCTTAAGTTCCATCAACTCTTTTTTAAAACTGAAGGTTTCTAAGAAGCAGTGTTATATCTGCTGTCAAACACAAGAAGATTCTCTTTTGTTCTTGGGTTGTAGGCTGCACCTGACACAGGTTGGCTTGAGTGTGGTCTGGGTACAATGAAATATGAAGCATCTGAAGCGAAACCTGCTCCTATTTGTCAAAAAGTCTGGTCTCAATTAAAAATCATGAGTCCTGTAACGAGATAATGGCCCAAAACAAAAGTAAAAAAACTAAATTTGCTCTTTAGAAGTTCTTCTATGAGATCTGATCTATGAAAGGAGCTGAAACATGGAGTAGGATTGACCCTTAAAATCTGAGACAACTGAGGAAGTTAACCAGTAAACAGAAATACCAGCTCCAGTTGCAGAAACTGACAATCACTCATCTGCAGTGACTGATTTAATTTTATTGTATTATTTTGGTTACTTTATTATTATTTTGTATTTATGAATTGATTTTAACTATTTTCACATTTCATATTTCACAACCAAACCAGATTTATTTTTTGTTGTTCCAATAACGCCTTGTTTTTTATCGTCCAATCAGATGTGACCGTCCAGATACGCCTTTTTTGTAATCGTCCAATCAGATGTGACCGTCCAGATATGCCTTATTTCTTATCGTCAAATCAGATGTGGCTGTCCAGATACGCCTTCCGAATTTGTTTGCAGAGATACCTACTTGGCTGAATCTGCCAAAAAACTGTAGAAGCTCGAGTCACGTGATGGACGTACATTAGCCTGGGTGTAGCCTAAGTAAACAAATAAGGTTGTTTCACCTACTTTCTGTCACTTTGACTGTTTCTGCAACAACAACAAAAAGGAACACACAATAAGTAGTTGGCTTCTAATGACAAACTTAGTTTACAAATGTTTAGTTTATAGACGGCACCAATATGAGGAAAAATATTGGGCATATTTTATTTCTTACTTCCAATTTTTTTGTCTGGTTGTAGTGAACTTAATCTGGTGTCACGACTAAGCCTAAGGTCAAAATCTTTGACCTTAAGAACCTTGTGGGACAGGAACTGTCATTTTATTGATTTGAATCCAGAAATACAGGTTCACCCATCCTGAGACTTTCTTTCTTGAAGATTCAAGTGAAAAGAACACTCTCTTTTTATTATCATTACTATTTTACAAATGTTGATAATCAAAGTGTCTTAGTTCAAACCATTTTAGATGTTGCAGTGAACTAATCAATTTTATTAACTGTGTAATGATTTTTTCTCATGCAAAGTTAGAATTCATGTTGAGGTCTGTTACAGATTTTTATGCATTTTCTGATTTCTGCCTTTGAATGAGCAAGTGTAAGTTGGTCCAAGGTTGGAGTCAAACGCAAAACAAGTTGTTGGAACGAACTGTCATGTTTTAGAATCCTCTCAGACATAAATATAGAGGTTTTCGCACCTGTTTCTGAAACGCGCCAAAACAAAACTCTCTCTGTCTGTGAGAACATTTCTGATCTTTCCATAACAATTCTTGCTGCATTCTAACCTTTTACGTCACAAAACACACCCCGTCTGGTCGGTTCTGGCCAATGGGAATACTCCCAGATGGACCGGAAAAACAGCTCTTTAAAATGTCAGTACTTCCTGTTTTACTCAGCTCTGCTCGAGATCTGAAACTACTCATGTTCTGTTGAAGCTCTGGAGAAGTTCTGCGGCGCGGACAGTGCTGATATGTCCTAGCGCTGGACAGTTCTGTGAGAGACGGGATGATCCTGACATGACAACAGAGCTCTTCCGAGTTCCATGGGATTATAACATTTTCACTCGCCACTACTTCTGACGATTCACAGCATCCTAAGGAGACGCTGGACAGGTAGCGTTAACGGAGCTCCATATCTGCTGATTAACCTCAGAAAGGTAATGAGTCAAGTTTCCTACCAAGCGTACCGGGGAGAGCTGGGTTCTGATGGAGAGTGTCAATTCTGGTGAACACTTCCCCTCCCATACCATCTTTACTCCCTCTAAACTTTTCTCATCTTTAAACTTTTCTATCAAGTAGATATTCTTCCAGATATTTAGAAATGTCTGTGTAAAATGCTCATCCACATCCGTGTGGGTAAAAGATCATAATTGTACAGTTTCATAAATGTCTGTGGTGAAGCAACGGAAAAATCATGGCCGTATGATTTTTCCTGATTGATTGCTTATGTTGTTATTTTCATAATTTGCCAAATTAATGTAAATGTTTGATGTTAAACTTTGATTCTGTAAATAAATGACCGCATTCATTTTGATGGGTCAAACATAAATGACGTCTCACGTTTGCATTTCATTAAATTCAATGCACGTTTTATTCAGTTCAGAAAAATGAGGAATCCACGTTAATTGATGAATATATCTGAGCATCTGTTCATCTACATGGTCTTCACAACTTGGCCATGAAAACCTTAAACAGGCTTAGGTTAAAGATTACTTGAATGTATGTAATAT